ATAGACTTATATGGTATGGATATATACACAGTGCTGACTCAAACCCAGATGAGTGTCCACATTTCTTCTAGACATGGACTGGCTCTGCAGATGTTTGTGTGCATCTGTTAATCCAGAAAGCAGATAATGCAGCTAAGATTATTTAGAATGAAGTGCACTTGTTTTCAAGAGGAGAGAAAGCTGTAGCTCATTAAGAATGAAAACAACTCACAAACAATAAAATAAAAATATCTCAGAGAGATGACAGAACCCCAAACAAGAATTAATTCAGATTACAGAGACAGCTGCAGCTATTGGCTGGCTTGAGCATTAACACCATCAAGTAGCATTTTCATGTTGTCTTTTTTTTAAATTTTTTTTAACCCATTTGGATTCAAGCGAGCAGATTGTGGTGTTGCTCCGGGGCATAAAAAGCAGCTTGCGACAAGGCATTGGCCCTTGCAGCATGGCCCCGGGCTGTGCAGGGTCGTCACACATGTTTGCTGGCTCATCTGGCCTCCACGCTTCCCACCTGACGCGTGGAGGCTTTAGCAGGGAAGCCCATGGTGGCAAGGCTGGTCTCAGAGCGGTCCTGAGCGACGTTCTGAGTGATGCCTGTGGCGCTCTGAGCTTCGGTGCTTCTCTGGCGACCACTCAGGGACTTGTCCCTTGGMACTCGGCCTAGCAAAGCTCTGCTCTCAGCAGGGGAGGCCGATTCCCTAGTGCTCACAGGTCTCGAAAGCTGTTCTAAAATTACTGTGCTATTTGCATTGCTATGTTTCCATTGCTAATGGAAACAGAGGCATTTCACTATTTTTTTTTTTTTGTACATGTAAATGCTGTGTTTTACTTCTTCCATTTCTCCAAAACACCCAGGACTACACTCCACTGATAGATCACCATTATCAGTGCCTCTAGTTTGGCTCTTAACCTCTAGGTAGGTATTGGAGGCTCTTAACCTCTAGGTAGGTATCTGACTTTTACAAGTGCTGAACATGTTTGGGTTTCTCTCTGGCATTGCTTTTCTGATGCTGAAGATACTCCAAAGTCAAAGATAAAGACCACATTCGAAAGAGATGAGCTGCCATCTGTGCCTGAGGACTAATTTCTGTGGAATTTAGTCTTCTAAATAGCCTTTGTGACTCAGAGTCCAAAAGGACTTGTAGATAGGTCAGAAAGGCAAAGAATTCTCCATTGTTTTAAAATGAAAGATGCTGCTGCAGCACATACCTGGAGGTCAAACTCTTGTTTCAATTGTCTAAGGCAGTTTTAATGCCAAAGGGAACATTTCTTTTTTTAAAGCAGGAAAAGAAAGGGTAGATAAAGTGAAATCGAAGGTATATCTGGTTTGATGTCTACTACTAGTTTGTCCCTTTACTGCAGTTACAGATATTATGAACCTGCCACCTCTTCAAAGATTTCCACAGTTACCTTTTTTTTTTCCTCAGAATGAGCTGTTTTGCCAAGAATCCATGTGGGGCCTGGATGCCTTGATCTGGCTGCTGCTCAAAAGTGCTGTTTTCTAGAAGGGTTCCCTCAACGTCCTGCTGTGACAGCCTGTGTTCTGAGCAAGCCCGGCTATCCCCAGCTCATGGGGTGCATCCACCGTGACCCTATGGTCCTGAGCTCTGCAGCAGTGATGGTGCTTTCTCAGGGGCTTAGATCCCCCTGAGAAACCCCTTCGTTTCTACCTAACAGCCCTGACAGCTCTGCTGCTCCGTGCCCTCCTCACCCTTGAGCTATGTGAGAGTCTGCAAAGACAGATGAATATTTAACGTAGCTGGAGGCTTTGATCTTTCAGTTGTTGTCTGGCTACAGAATCACAGAATCACAGAATATTTAAGGTTGGAAGGGACCTCTAGAGATCATCTAGTCCAACCTTCCTGCTCAAGCAGGCACACCTACAGCATGTGGCACAGGGTGGCATCCAGGCGGGTTTTGAAGACCTCCAGAGTAGGAGACTCCACAACCCCCCTGGGCAGCCTGTTCCACTGCTCTGTCACCCTAACAGTAAAGAAGTTGCTCCTCACCTGGAGACGGAACTTCCTGTGCTTCAGCTTGTGGCCATTACCCCTCGTCCTATCGCTGGCCACCAGTGAAAACAGCTTCCCTTCCTCCCTGCATTCTCCCTTCCTGAACTTATACATATTAATCATATCCCCTCTGAACCTTCTCTTCTCCAGAGAAAACAGGCCCAGCTCACTCAGCCTCTCTTCATACGAGAGATGTTCCATTCCCTTAATCATCCTGGTTGCCCTTCTCTGGACCCTCTCGAGAAGCTCCACGTCCCTCTTATACTGGGGAACCCAGAACTGCACACAGTACTCCAGGTGCAGCCTCACCAGAGCTGAGTAGAGGGGCAGAATCACCTCCCTTGACCTGCTGGCAACACTCCTCCTGATGCAGGCCAGGATCCCATTGGCCTTCTTGGCCACGAGGGCACACTGCTCACTCATGGTTAACTTAGTGTCAACCAGGACTCCCAGGTCCCTCTCCGTGGAGGTGCTTTCTAGCAGGCCGCCCCCTAATCTGTACTGGTGCCTGAGGTTATTCCTCCCCAGGTGCAGGACCCTGCACTTGTCCTTATTGAACCTCATGAGGTTCCTCTCTGCCCAACTCACCAGCCTGTCCAGATCCCTCTGGATGGCAGCACAGCCCTCCGGAGTGTCGGCCACTCCACCCAGCTACATCTAGCACCTCTAAAATSCAAATGGAGGAGGTGACTTTTTATCTAATGATGCAGAAGTGGACCCTCCTAATTGCAATTTCTTCTTCTATCTTGGCTCATTTCAACCACATCTCCTACTTCTCTGTAAATAATTCCTATTATCACAGTACTGGAGGAATGTCTCCTCCATCACTTCTAGGTTTCCAGGCTTTGGGCTGAATATCTTAACCTCAAAGCTTACAAGCTTTCTTGTTGCCCTTCTGCTGGGTGAGGTGCTCTCCTGGGTTATGGGACTGTGTTTATAGGCTAAGGCAGAAATCATGTCCTCTACTTTCCTGGCCAGCAGAATGTGGGCATGACTCAATTCCCTATCCCTCAAAGGTATCTGACACTCTGCTAAGAGTTAAACGCCTGTTCTCAGGGTACCAAATGAGACTTTTGGRCACAAACCTCTGTTAGGTCTTCTTGGCTGGCTGTGACAGTGATAGATCCCTGAYTTCCCACACAGGGAGTGTCGGGCACTGCAAAGCCTATTCCTGGTATGGATCCCATCACTCTCAATGTATAAGCACTGTCTAATCCAATGCCAAAATCCTCCTTGGACCTACAAGACTTTGAAGGGAGGATGTCAGGAAACTCCTTTATTCTCAGCATCTTCCTTGCTCCCTCTTTTACATGCTGATTATTGTGAATCACGTTCATTGAATGTGAACACTTTTTGTACATTGCAAAAAGAGCCAAGACTGTCTGTTGTGGGTACTGTAAGGTCCTCTAGAGCACTTCCAGATGGAATGGCATGGACCCTACAGTATCTCCTTCTGGGGAAATGTTTCCAAATCCAGGCTTAATGTATTTGAAGTCTTTTGTCTGGTTTATGCATAAGACTATACAGGAGAAGAACATTATCAAGGATATCTGATACTTCCCAGTTACGCCAAGATACCTGAGCTAGCTAATTTAAAGATGATTCAGACACATACATATGGGTGGCAGTCTTAGTTATTTTGATTATATATCATATTGCATAGTGTATTCTGAAAATGTGCATAGAAACATACACTGAAATTTAGAGAAAAGACTCTTGAAAACAAAATCACTACATTACAGYTTATCACAAATTTCCTTTTTTCATCCACACTCTGTTGGTCTTTTTGAGACTGGTGAATCTCACATATGAAGTAGTTCAGAGCTGTCCAATACAGGCAAGTTGTGGCTCATGTGTGACATTAGTCACTCTCCTTATTCAGTGGGAGGATTACTTAGCACCAATGATTTTCACCAGGGCTCGTGTCCTACTGTGGTAGACAGGTAGTTAGAGATGCATAGACCTGTGCACTGACTCCATGTGTGTGCTGGATCTCCTTTGCTTATTTTTGTAAGGACTCAGGGGACGGAGGGTAGTTTAGTCCATCATTTTTGCTCTAGTTGTAAGATGCACATAACTATATTGTGGCTATAAAAATGATATACAGATACTTTCTGCTAAAACTCTGATATAACTTCCAGCTTCTTTGCTGTAGTACAGACCTTTTTCGAAAGAACGTCTGGAAAAACACATCAGAAGTACATAAATAACAGTTTTTGTCAAGGATATATCTAGTGACTTCCTGAAGACCAGCTTTTGACAATTCTCTCACACAAATTCCATTTCTGCACTGCTGCTCTCTGAGATGTTTCTTCACAACCTGRTATCAGGCAAACCATTTCGTGGGTAGGCTTAGAAGGGGGTGTATTTCAGAGATTTTTTTTTAGGATTTATTGAAGACTGTGAAGTATCTTCATTGCATGAGATGGTGAAGTATTATCTCTCCCCCTCCCCACAGATGAGTCAGGTGAGGGCTATTGTGCCAAACAATTTACTGGGRACAGTTTCATTGTTTAGGTAGAATGGAAGTGAAATCACAAGCTTGGTCCCATCAACTACCAATTTGCCTCTTTAGAACAGTATTTATTCTAACTGTCAATTTAGCACTTACATCTTTAAATGAAAGCCCATATGATAGATGCCTTTGCAAGGATACCTGCTTACTATTGAGAAACAGTAAACACAAAATTCCCTGTTTTTAGCTCTAATTAGTATTGTTATTAAGAGTAAAGGATTTTGTTATGAATCTTATCCTAACTAAATTTCATCTCACCCAGGCTAGTGCCAAAACAAATAAGCACTACTACATATGTCATGTATGTTTAAGGAATGTACAACCTGCTTGGAGGACCTGCACACATTCTTTCCACGCTGCGCGAGTTATGGCATGCAAAAATATACTGCCTTCGTAACAGGGTGCTGTATTTGTTCAGAAACTGTTGAAAGTCTTTGGAATTCTTATAACTGTTTATTCATTCTTTTGTTTAGGAGTCAGTGACCTGTAAGTGCTCATTATGAAGAAAGATCTGGTTCTCTTGGTGACTCTAATTAGCCTTGCCTTCCTGTCACTGCTAAGATCTGGATATCCTCAACATATAGCAGAGGAGTCCTGCTCTGTTCAAATTCTTGTTCCAGGCCTCAAAGGTAATGTGGAAGTCTACTCCATCATCCAAATGCTTTCTTTTTAGCAGGCTAATTTGCACCATTGATGATTACTAACTGAGGCAAAGGAGATGCTTTCCAGTGGTCTTCTCATTTGTCCAGTTTAGAGCCTTCCTATAAACATAGTGTTAAGGTCATAAGATGAATTAATGTCAGAAAAAAAAAATCCACATAGTTTAGAGAATGCATGTTGAAATTTCCAAAAACTGCTCCTGGTGAACAGTGCTTGTTAAGCTGATGGGTTGCTCGGYTGGTTTCTCTGTGCTGCTTCCCCTCCTGAGCACAGAGGCTTTAAAATCAGCCTCTACATTGCTCCTGGAGAGGTTTTCACTGCCATCTTGAGATGCACTACAAGGAATTATTTYATATTTTCTAGCCCTCTCTGTGCTGTCCTTTGGGACAAATTTCCTCAGGTTTTAAACGCCCTAGTGCCTTTCACAGGAAATAAGAAAATAGAGCGGTTTCTTTGGCATTTCTATAGATTGTTTGGGCAAAAACATCCTTTCTATCCAATATGACATCAAAACATTGCCTGACAAAGATGATATAATAAATATTGTTCTTTCATAACAAAAAAGAATGTATTAATATTAGTGTCTTAGACAGAAAATCATCATCTGGAAAGAATTAGCATTTTAAAGCAACAGTATTTATTGCCAGTGTGGTATAAAATCCCAGCTCCATTATTATAATTAATAACAATAATTCCTCTTATGAAGGCCATGATATTTCTATCAGACTGTAATACCCATGAGTATGGAGAAATGCTTATTAACTAGGAAAGAAACCCAAACATTCAAACTGTGCTTTGTCACAGTAAGGATAAAAAAAAATGCAAAAACTGCACAGCTCACCTCACAGTTTTTTTGGTAGTTATGGATTTCAGTAACTGCAAATGACACAGTTCACCTGAAACCTGCTGCTAACATTACATAAAGCTTGATTTTAACCAAGTGCCTGAGGTCTATAGTACAGACTTGAGGCTGGATCTGTGCTGGGGAATCATTCAGGGAGAGGGCAAGGCTCAGGTGCTGTCACACAGTTGTCTGCACAGTTGAGCTGCTTGCAAAGCCCAGCCATGGTTTTGGCTATGGTGTATATTGCCCTTTCCAGAAATTCCTTGGTTTGGATGTGGCTGCCCTGCTTTGAGGGCCTGACCTGGGAGAGAGTGAACTGGTTGTGCTKGGCCAACTGAATATGGTAGCAAATAATATGCCATTTGTTCATTACAATTATAATATATATCAACCATATATTTTTATATATCATATGTTTATTATGATTACATAAGAGATCTACAGCTGCCTGAACTGAAGCAACAAAAATTTTTAAGACGTATTTCAGTAGGTGACTTTTAAAATCTGAATAACATTTTACCTTCTATACAGTACAATTAGAAAACAAAACAACAACCAAAAAAACCCCAGCACTAGTCTGATATGTCCAGATCTTCTAAGGCTTGATGAAACCTTGATTAAAATTGTTTCCAGTATTTATCTGTTTTACTTGATGTGGAAGAGGCATAAGATAGTGCTGTTTATGTGACTCATATAGCATGACACTCTCAGGTTTGATGTATCTCGTCTAAAGGCATAGAGATCAGTCAAATCATCAGACCACAGTACTGGAAACCAAAGCTTTGACATGAAAAGTTGTCTTTGCTAGGCTTTGACAATGCAATGCCTATTTTTGTGACATAAAGGACCATTGTTGTTATTATTACCATTATTATTATTATATGCAACTGAGTTTTAAAAACATATAAGGATTGTAATAATAATCCTGGCCTTTTCTCAGGAGGTAATTCTGAGCCAGGAAACAACAAAGCAGCCTGAAACATTAATGATTTTCATTCCACTTCACGAGACACCAGCCCTGCAAAAGTGATAGAGATTGATGTGCAAATGCAGTGAAGCACAAAACGRCCTGATGCAGCCTAGCTGGTTAATGCGAAATCTCTCCAAACCCATCAGAGCTCCAGCTACACTGTCAGAGGGGCTGGCTCGGAGAGCTGGTAATGAGATACTGCTGTCACCTCCTGGCACGACTCCAACCCATTTCAGCAGCCAAGGTTTCCTCTCCACGGAGCATCCGTGTGGCTGCATGCCCAAATTGTGGCTGTCACGCAGCGGGAGCTGCTCACCGCATGTCTTGGACCTGCCCCTGCTCCTCCTCTGCTCAGATGCCAGTAAAATCCCAGAGGATGGAGAGGCTGAGGCTCCTTGGGACCCTGGCACCACCACCATGGGTGCTCACTGCTGGGAGGGAGTRAAGGAAAAGGGAGAGACCGCGGGATGCAGAGAAGAGAATGAGGAGGAGGGTGCCCTCAACCTAAGAGGTGGTGCTGAGCCCAAATGAGGTGGTGGAGCAGAAGGAGATAGGGAATATGCATTCAAATGAGATGAGAGAGCATMAGGGAGAAATTTAGGAAGAATAGGGAGAGATAAGAGAAAAGGAGGGCACAAAGAATGAATGGAGAGACTGGAAAGCATTAGAAAATAAGCTAAAATACACAAAGCCAATTAGGACTCCATAGGAAAAAAGGATGATGGAAGTGGAAGACAAAGAAAGCCAGTAAAGACATTGAGAATAGAAAAAAGGCACAAATGAGTTTAAGGTCAGCAGCTTAGGTAGTAGGAACTCATAATATACAAATATAAATATATATATGTATATCCTGAACAATATAAAAGGGTAAGATGAAGGAAAGAAAGAGAAGTACTGTGGTCCTGAAATTCCAGGCAGCCGAATGATCTCTATTTTAAAAAGTCAATAATGTTAATAAAGGGAAAATGTGTTGTATGTGGAGAAGGGTGGGTAGTGAAGCCTTACTGTATCACTCACCCATATTCTTCCCAATGTTCTGTTCCTTCTGAAAGGCCCATCAGAATGAAGTTACTCTTATTGTCGGGAAAAAATAACAAAAAATAAGGTGCATGCAGACTTGGGCAAACCTCCTGCTGTTGCTGCCTTTCCCCTGCTCAGCAGGGGATTTCAGCCTGCACAGGGGTTGCTTCCTCAGCTTGCACAYTGCTCCGAGTGCACGCAGCAAAGCTTGAGCTCTGCAAAGCTGAATTAGACCATGCTCAGGTCTAAGACAGCTGAAAAGAAAAACTATAAGGTAGAGCCTGCAATGGGGTAACCTGCTCTGAGGGAAGATTTCTGACAGACCCACACTAAGGAATGCAGTGTCATCTTATTACGGGAATAAATGCAGGCAAGTGTAATGGCCTGAAGCAAGAGTGATCTATTTTATTGATTCCTCATGCACAGCATTCACTCTGAGGAACGCGTAAAGCAATAGGCTGTAATAGCCTGCTCCGAGCCTCCAGAGACACGGAAAAGTCATTGGCAGGATTTATCTTGGGGAAGCAGAGAACTCATAACCAGCCCGGGGTGGGGAATGGCAATAATGCAAAGCCTATTAGTTACCTGGTAATAAAAAAGTTGTGTTCACGAAAGTGGCAAATAAGAGCCTGCTTCTTACTAACAGTATTACTCACAGGGGATTATGTGAGGTTTGTCCTCATTAATGTCAGGGAATGGCCTATTTTTGCATATCTGAAGGCAYGAGAGCTCTTCTGGAGCTGCATGGCAGCCTGGGGAAGGAGAATACAGAGCACAAGGGGCTGAGCTCAGCTCACAACCACGTGCATCTACAGCAAGGAGAGAGCGAGGCTGTGTGTTTGAACGTGGCCATGTCTCACCTTGCTTCYACATGTCATCTCCATGACCTCTCTCTATGCCAGAGAGCTGTAGGGGTGAGTGATCCCATTTGCTTTTCTTGCTACGATGCTTTCCATGGGAGAACAGCTCACGCTCACCCTCCAGTGCATACGGCATGTGCTGGTCTGGCTTTGGATTCCCCCTTTGCAGTAGCTGGCAACACTTGATTTTCTGCAGAAGCCATAGCACTTCTCCTGATACATCTTTTTAAAGAGGAGGTAGAAACGTAAATAATTCTTCAATCTTCCATTTTGTTTAAGATGTTTTATGTTGATGGCCAACTACAACAGCAGAGGGCAAAGCAAGATAASCTTTCCCAGACAGGGGGAAGGCAAACATTCTCAGAAACTGGCATTATAATATGAAAAAATCTACCAGCTGCCATGAGCTATGCAAATGCAAGTACAATGCAGAGAGCTTCATTCCACACACATTAAGAGGCACAGCATGTATCTGAAAATAAAGATGAAGGAATTCTCTCTATATGCCTGATCTTCCCCTGCTCAATAAATGCTATAAACAATTGTTTTTTTTAATATGAGATTACGGTTAAACTTTTCTCACTTGAGACTTAAGTATGTCCTTAAGACGCTTTGCTGAAAAGGGACAGAGTTTGACAGGTCCTCAGAAAGTGGTGAATGTGAAGCCAAWATTTAATGTTTTAAGTTGAGGCCTAATTCTGCAGCTCCTACTTAAATTAGTTATGCTGTTGGGCTTTTTGGAGTTTGTCACAATAACAGTCCCCAGAAGTAGCTCCCATATATAAGAATTCAGTAATCAATTAACTTTGGCCTTATAACTGTTACGGTAGCAGGTCAATTGCAGGTAACTGCTCTTTATATATCAAATAAAGCTATATAAGGCAGACTCCATCCACTTTTATTTTTTCCCTCTTTCTTGAAATAGGCTTTTCTTTTCACTGAGGAAAATACTGCTTTTATCATTGCCACCATGAAAAATAGTTCTGGCTTAATATGATTCTTCCTTTTATTTCTATTTGTGTTAATAGGGGAGGCTGGAGAAAAGGGTGAAAAAGGTGCTCCAGGTCGACCGGGAAGAGTTGGGCCTCCGGGAGAAAAAGGTAACTCTTAAAGAAGATGATATGAAAGTAATTTTGGACCAAATGGGGCCTTTTCTTTGGAGGTGATGATAATGGAGATTCTCTATCCCTTTTCTGGAAGAGTGTGTTTTATATACCTTATACACATACTCGTAGACTTAACTATTGCTCTCTGTTCAAAAAGTTTAATTAGGGAAAAGCTTAAGGCTATTTCTTGTTTTTCTTTTTTTTTTTTTTTAATGTTCTCTGTAAAGAAAGATATCATAATGCCTAACAGATATCATAAAGATACCTCACAGTATAATCACCATGAGAGGGTGATTTTACTAGGCCTAACAGGCAGAGATGGTTTAAAGTGTCTCCACATTTTGGGATCACACTTCAGTAATAATTATGGCAAGACGGTGGTAAAGCCATTGCATTGCAGCTCAAAGGGAACTTGCAGATCTGCAGAGAAACGGTGCTCGACAGTATTCAGTTGTCAAAACTGAGAGAAAYGTGGCATTTTTGTCTTGAAGAAAATTCTGTCTTTTCATGTTGCTTGTGCTTCTAAAATAGAGAGGAAAGTTGACCTTCATCAGTTTTCCAGCAGATGCACAATCTGAAAAATTCACATTTGGAGTAGTCAAAATATTTATTTCAGTACTGAAATGAAACATTTGACAGTCCTTGCACCAGAATGTTTGACCTAGCTTTTACAAAGCTGAATTTTAAAACTTCATTTTAAAGCAAATGCTGTGGTTACTTACACTTGCTTACCATGATCCATGATCCATCATGCTCTTCTTTTGGTCAGCTCTGGRCATGTGACATCTGTGGTTTACCCTGGGACCAAGATCCATGACTAAAGTTCATCCCTTGTGATGCACTCAAAACCTTATAATTTCCATGAGGTCTGACTGTTCAGTCAGAGTAAGAACTGGGTATTTTCCTTACGGAAATGTAGCCTTCAAGGGAAACTATCATGAAAAATATTGCAAACTGAAATTTCAACTCCTGTAAACTAAGACAACATGATGAGAAGCTGTAGTACCATAGAATGATTTAGGCTAAAAGATCATACAGAGGTCATCTGGTTTGAGCCTTCAGTTTGAAGAAGAACTGACTTTAAATTTAGATCAGGTTKCTCAGGGTCTTGGCCGGTAGAATTCTAAAAATCTCCAAGGACAGACATTCCTCTTTCATTAGCCTGTTCACCACTATGGTTGTGAAGAGATGTGTTCCTTATGGACAACTGAAATTTCTCTTCCTATAATTTKTCATTGTTGCCTCCTATCCTTTCACTGTGCATCCCTGAGAGGAGAAGACTGTCTTCTCTGCAAGACTCCTCTAGGTAACGGGTCCCCTCTTACCATTCTCCAGGATAAATAAAATCATTTTCTTCACCTATTTTCAGTTTATTTCTCTCTTGTTTGAGAGATCCAAAATCTCTGGGTTCTTATCTGCCAAAGGGTTTTCCAGCCAACCATTGGCTAGCCAATATCACTGCACCCCATATACAGGACTTTGCATATGTCTTTACTGATCTTCATGAAGCTCCTCTCAGTAAATAATATTTACTTATGCACAAGGCCAGTTATTTTATCRTAGAAAGCAATGAGGTTGGCCAGGCATTTGGAAAATCAATGTTGGCTGTTTCCTTGTCTTGTACTTATGGTATCTGGAATAGCTTTCATATGAACTTGATTTGTAATTTTGCAGAGAGCTGAGGTGAGCTGACTGGCTGGTAGGGCTTTCTTTGAAAGCAGATATAATATTTGTCTTTTCCAGTCACCAGGGATCTTGTCTGCTTGCCACAGTCTGTCAAAAATGACAAGGAGTAACAGCATCATCTGGCTCTTTCAGGACCATTGGATGTATTCTGACCAGTGCTGTGGATTTGCGCGTGTCTGACTTAAGTAGTCCCTAACTCAGTCCTCCTAGTTTGGGTTGCACCATCTCTCTGGTCCTTGCTACTGGTCATGAAGACCTGAGAAGCCTGAATGCAGACCTTGCTAGTAAAGACCAAGGCAGAGAAAGCATTGAGTACCTCAGCCTTTTCCAAGTCCTTCAACATGAAGCTGCCTTTCTCCCTGATCAAACTGACCATATGTTATCCTTGCTCTCCTTTTTGTTATTGACTTACCTGTAAAGCCTTTCATGTTGTCCTTCATACCTAGACAAGTTCAGCTCCATCTAAACATTTGTGTTGTCATTTCATCCCTGCATGCCTGGGGAGTGCTTCTATATTCTCCTTGGGCAGCCTGCTCCTGCCTCCACCTCCTGTATGCTTCCTTTTTGCATTTGGGCTCAGCCAGCAATTTCCTGTTCAGCCAAGCTGGACTTCTGCCAAATCTGCTTGCTTTCCTTGCACATTGTGATGGGCAGGTCTTGTGCTTCAAAGCATGGGAAAGGAAAACTCTTCTTTAAGAATGAGAAGCTCTTCCTGGGCAACTCTGCATAGCAGCCTACAATAGGATCCTACYTACCACTTCCCCAAATAAGCTAATGTGAGCTCTCCACAAGTCCAGGGCTTTTATTCTCCTACTTGGCTTCCCCACTTCCATTACCAACTTCCCTTAAGAAGAATATTCATATCATGGTCCCTGCAGCCAAGGTTGCCCTTGACTATCATGTACACAACAAATAGTCAATGTACCTCCAAATAGTCCTTATCTGTCAATAGCAGTCCAGGAGACCATGGCTCCTGGTTCACCATCTAGCACCTRCACTCAAATGTGTTGAAAATTCATAAGAGATGCTTGATTAGCTCTTATAATTATGATAATTTTCTGGTTTTCCATATCTTCAAAAGTCCAAAATTCTGGTGGGCCTGGATGAAGAAGATTTGAAGTGGAAATTAAAACAAACCTTAAACAACAAAGAGGTGAAAGAACTTCTTCAAATTTTAATGCATGCCATATTGGTATTTTGCCASGTAATGCTTTCAAACCAAGCATGGTAAAATTCTACAGTTTCTGAAGCAACATTTTTTTTCTGCTTTTCTTTGTACAAGTAAATTTGACTTGACATGTATGTTCTTGGAATATTTAGTTAACAGCTTTATTTTAGCAAAGTAAAAAGAGTTTACAGGCTCATATTTAATATGAACTCTATTTAATTCATCTTTTAATTAATATTATATGTTTTTAAGACATTTGGCTTCATCAACTGCTCTTCACAAATACTTACAGAAATATAAATCATAATTTTAAAAATCTTTTGAACTATATTTTGCAAGAATTCATCATGGCAATATATTCTATGCATTTTCTGAAGAGTCACAGTTTGACACAGACTTCACAGATGTGACTTCTGTCCTGTGGAAATCACTCATCTGAAAAAATCTTTAAGTCTTCAGTTAACTTCTGAAGTCAGTTGGAAGTCTCCAGACCTTAAGTTAAGTTTGTGCATATTTGTGCACAGCTTTTCTTGACCCCTAGACTGAAGAAGAGTGAGAGTCACCCAGCTGTGTATTCTCTTCCATCAGTCCAAAGGTTTTCCTGTTTGTTATCTGGAAGATGGAACTTTGAGACAAAAATAAAATATCACATAGTTCTTAGGAAGTCATGACAGCAGGTAATACTGAAGTATCTAGCACACTGACATCTTTGTCATAGTGGGACATTCAGCCTGTCTGTGGAGGGTTAGGAACTGGCCATCATTTGGAGACTATTAGTTGGTCCACCACAGTGCTCCAGAAATAACCACTCCACAGTCTCTTCCTCAATAGATTATCTAATATCCRTAAATGACCTGTTATTTATTTTTTGCTCTGTTCTTCATCTCTTGATGGGATTACACCACTGATGTCCTTTAAAATCCTCAGAAACCTCTTTAAAATCCTCAGAGACCTCTTTAAAATCTAAATTACCATAAGGCTAAATTACCATAAGACTAAAATCTAACTTACCCATGACTTAAAGCATAGCTCAGTGCAAAATGAAAGATAGGTAAAATTGCTGCCTCACCATGCGTTTGCCCCCTTTTAAGTGCACATATGGATGCTCACTGTGGTTGAGCTTTTGGACAGTAGGGTGTTGAATGGCAGTAACTGTAAAAAAAATCACTTTTATAGTTTTTAAGTGTATTTTTACTGAAGTCTGATAATTACCATCTTGACAGGAAGAGGCTAATATTTTGCTCTTYCTACTGGGAGAAACTGCCTATGTTGGTTGTATTTTGCTGCTCTTTAAGCAAATGATGGTTTACAGGAGGAAGAAACGGTAGCTCTACAACATTTGTAGGGTTTTCTACTTTATGTTGTAACTTCAGGTTATCACAAAAATCTTTTTTATTTTTTTCTTCTTTTCTYTTGCTTCTTGGGCAAATTCAATGTGCTTAGCATCTTTGGACTACTTAGGAGTGTCATAACCAGTGAATAAATAGCATAAGAAATATTTTCCTCAGTAAATTTGACTCAAAATAAACATTTCAAGATGAGAAAGTGCTACAAATATTTTTAGCATATCSCTTTCTTATGATATTTTCAGATTTTCATAGTTCGGAAGCTGATATACATTTAATACTTTTATACTTCCCTGAAATAAATCTAGCTATGAACATCCCAATGTTTCAGGGTGACCTCAGACATCTTGATGTCTTTGGGCACTGATTAAGGTTAAATTCCACTTACTTTCCTCATTGATTTTAATTAACTATGTAGGTCAATTATGATGCATAGCATGTCAGCAGAATATAAAACTATGTGCTGACTGTATGTAAAGCATAGAGTACTGGATCAATTAAAATGGTCCATTTGAATGAATGAAGCATGCATTGCAGTGCAGGTTGTAGGGTGGAAGGTGTATCAAGCCTTGCTATCCCCACTTGCACTGGTTGTTGTACAGTTCCATGATAGGAATGATCGCAGTTTGTGACTGAGTCATGATCTTATCTGTTGATATGAATGAATACAAACTCCTCGCATACCTTTCAGTAACAATATAATCTGAATTTTCACAGATTAGCATGGATTCTGTTTACGACAATCAAAATAGAGAGTGAAGTTAATGTTGGAATGTATTACAAAGGAACAGCAC